TAATCTTTTCGCTGGTGGGGATCTCAGCAGAAAAATTTGTGGTGGACGTGTGTTTCCACATACACGTGCATAAATACAAAGCAGTGGAGGTTTAAGAAACCGCTGTTGCCCAAAGCAAGTGAAGTTTAGGTTATTTGTCATCAAGGTAATATTAACAAGACGAAAATATGTAGTTGTTAAAATGGAAGAAACAGCCCCTGCCTCCCAAGCAGGATTCCCAGCCCTATGTGCCTGCGGTGTCCTGCCACGGAGCGCTTCCCCCTGCCCAGGAGCCCGGCATCCCCCGCAGGTCCCGCTGGGGTGGGCCCGGGACCTGCTCCCAGCTGCCCACCTCCACCTTTGCGTCACCATCACCAACAGCTTCCTCCCACGGGGATTTCACGAAACAAAACACCGCAGAATTTTCCACGGAGAAATGCAGAGGTTCGGATGCTTTGTGCCGGTTTGTGACGAAGGTTTTCCCTTCCCCGAGGTAACTCCAGAATGTGACACTTGATTTTTCCCTCCAGCTCCCAGCTCTAGGCAAGTCCTGGTCGTCACCCCAACCCTTACCTCCATCCTGCCAGGGAACTGGGGGGACTAGGGGCTCTCATGCTCTCCATCCCTTTTCCTCTCTCGACTCGCGGTCCCTTGTGGCCCTCGTGACATCTGCCCGTCTCCTCTCTCCTCATATTCTTACTTCTCAAGACAAGGAATGTCTCGGGGACACAGCTGATGGGCGCCGGGAGCCAAAGGAGGTGGCTGGGATGGAGGTTGGAGGGGGATGTGGGAGCCGGTCCTGACACCGTGGGCCACCTCCGCCCCTTGTGTCACACCCCAATTACTGTGGTTTTCCAATCGGTTTAACAGAACCTCAGTGGTGTTGCGATCTTTTTGGGGGGGTAACACACCACATACGATTCAAACAGCGTCGCCCACCGCCCCATCTCGTTCCTGTCGGTATCTCCAAGCTTGATCCCGATTTCTAATCTGCATTTCCAGCAGACAAAGCAAACACACCTGCAGGCTGGCGGGGCGCAGAGGGGAACGGCCAGGAGCAGGCAACTGATGTTCATGGTAACAGTCCTTGTTATTAGGAATCACCAAGGGGATGCAACGGCGCTTACACAGAGTCCCAACGACTTTAATTTATCTCAGCCCAGCGGTGTCTTCTGCATCCCCCAGCGCGGAGGCTGGCTGCAACAGAATCGGAGATGCACCATTCCCACAGCGGGAGCTGGGACCCTTTCTAAAGCTGAGGCTCCTGGCAAGAGGCACGTGAGAAAAGCAAGAGCCAGCTTCGAACAAGATGACTTCTTGATCCTTTAACTTGTGATCGCTGATCACAGCGACATTAGAGAAATGAATGTTGAAGCTGGGTCAAGTAATTATTGCAGGTTCATAGCTGCACACCGCACAGTTCTCGGGGCAGTAACAAGTCTGACAATTGTAAATAATATGCAGCCAGAGCACGGGGATGCTTGCCTCTTGCTGAGATGAAAGCGAAGGCATAAGCTGCTGCGCCAAGAAGAAAACAGCTGAATGGTTATGACCAAGGGTTGCTTCCAAACGCGCCGGCTGCATTCCTCTTTGTAGGGCTTTTTCCTCTTTCTGCCTATTTACATGATCAGCATATCACCACAGCAGTAATGGCATCATATACCTGCCACGAGTGAAAAATGGCCATGGGAAACAAGAGGCAGAGCAAACAAGGAATGATGGTTTTACCTCAGCAAAAGGGCAGCTAGAGGAATGAGAGCAGGGAAAAAAATTACCAACTCTGAGCAGACATCAAAAGGGAGCAAATGAGGAACGCTCAGCAGAGTTCAGGGGAAGCCACAGTGTCGGTGGCCGATATGGAGCCAGCAGGAGCCTGGAGAAGCAGAAAGGAAAGTACAAAGCACCCCTGCTCTCACCCCTGCACAGAGCAGAAGAGAGACATGCTCGGAAAGTCCTTTTCTCCTTATCACTTGTCCCTCCTTATCAGGCTGAAAAATGGCGGTGCCTTCCTTGTGCACCTCAGCCCTTGGGCTTCTCCCCCTTCTGAATCCCAGTGGGGGAGCTCGAAATTGTACCTGCTCGCTGGATCCGGGGAACTGCACGAACCCACGAGGGGATGGAAAGAGCCTCTCAGTGCCCCTGCCCGAAGCTGTGCCTGCAAAGGATCGGGCCTTTCAAGGCTAAATCTTATAAATCCCACCCGAATCTCTTCAGTACCTACCCCAGCTGTTGGCTGGGGTGCTGGGAGCGATGCTCTGCTCCAGCGGGATCCCTCCTCTCCGCTCCCCTGCTATCCATCCCTGCGCTCGCCCACGCAACACCACAGCTCAGGCTCAGCGGTCCCGGGCTGCGGAGTCACCTGTGTCATAGAATCATAGAATCATTGAGGTTGGAAAAGACCTCTAAGATCATCGAGTCCAACCGTCAACCCAACACCACCATGTCCACTAAGCCATGTCCCTAAGTGCCGCATCTACACGTCTTTTAAATACCTCCAGGGATGGGGACTCCACCACTGCCCTGGGCAGCCTGTTCCAATGTTTCACCACTCTTTCAGTAAAGACATTTTTCCTTACATCCAATCTAAACCTCCCCTGGCGCAAGTTGAGGCCATTTCCTCTCGTCCTATCGCTCGTTACTTGGGAGAAGAGACCGACCCCCACCTCGCTACAACCTCCTTCCAGGGAGTTGTAGAGAGCGATGAGGTCTCCCCTCAGCCTCCTTTTCTCCAGGCTAAACAACCCCGGTTCCCTCAGCCGCTCCTCAGAAGACTTGTTCTCCAGACCCCTCACCAGCCTCGTTGCCCTTCTCTGGACACGCTCCAGCACCTCGACGTCCTTCTTGTAGTGAGGGGCCCAAAACTGAACACAGTGTTCGAGGTGCGGCCTCACCAGGGCCGAGTACAGGGGCACGATCACTTCCCTACTCCTGCTGGCCACACTATTTCTGATACAGGCCAGGATGCCTGTGTCCCCGCAGAGGGATGAACTCAGAGCCGGCAACAGGTCCCTGCCGCCATGGCCGCTTGCACCATATCCCTTTAATCTGCCCAAGACTCAGATGAACAGCGTGGCGCAGCAAGAGCGGCCAACAAACGGCTTCCTCGAGAAGGGGGCAGGTAGCCCTGTGTTGGGGGCATGCAATCCTCGAGAAGGGGACAGGCAGCCCCAGGGTGCCCCCCCAGCACTTCTGCCATCTCCCCACCACGGAAACGGGTGCGCCTAAGAGTGGTGGCAAGTGCACTACACGGCTTGACTATTTCAGAAAATAACCTTGATTTCTGGGGTGGTGGGATCCCTACCAGTTCCCAGCACTCTGGATGTGCGCGTACAAGCAGGCAGAGGAAAGAGCACCGGTGACTGTCCCATTTCGTCTGGACGTTTCCAGCGCCAAGCAGATCACTGCCTCTCCTGGATGCTGCGAGATCATCCCCATCGGTGGGGACCGTCACACACCGTGTCAGGGCTCTGAGGGCACTTAATTGCCCCGACGAGCCTCACTGGGTGCTCCCCCACCCCTCTGCCCAGGGTCCCGGAGCTCCAGCTAAGCTCAGGTCTTGGCCCTTGGCCCCAAACTGGCCAAACCCTCAGCCAGAGGGGCCTGTCAGCATCCAGCCCTCACCCTCGCACGGTTACTGGGGAGTTGCTGTGAACCTGCCTCAGTTTCCCCACCTTCGCCACCAATCCCCCTGTGTCACCCCATGCCTTAGCTGTTGAGCATCAGGATCCCGAAGCCAGTCTCCCTGCACCCTTAGTAACTGCCTGTGAATGGTGGCAAGGGCTCATCCCTTCCTTTGGGCCAGGGCCCCGCACCCCACATACGGGATCAGAAGGCAACCTTCTTCAGCCCCTCACTGCCCCCACGGTGGCTTCCCAGAGGCTCTGCAGCCCCTCTGAGCTCCAGTTTCAAGCCCCAGGCTGGACTCTCTGCCCCCAAGCTCCCATACCGTGCTTCTCACGTCACGGCTCCTCTCCCAAGAGAGGTCCAAAGACACCGTCACGGGAGGCAGAGAGCAACTGCGCTAACGGGCAGCCCCAAACGTGTGCACAGAGGGAGGGAAGCGAGAGATAATACAGAGACATTCCAAGTAATCTTATTTTCCCATTGGCTGAAAAGGAATCGCTACGCTGCACTGCACGTTGCCAGGATATTTTAAAGACCTTAGACGACCTTCAGAGTAAGTGCTATCGA